CCACTGCTTGAGCTGGCGGTGCGAGGCATGCAGAGAAGCACCACCGTCAACGCACAGGACCTCTGTGGCTTTCTGGAACTCCTGCTCATCAGTCTCCTCATCATCCATATCTTCATCTTCGTTATCATCTTCATCCTTGTCGCGGCCACGGGGAGGTCTATCTCCTTGCCGCTGTTTGGCCTTGCCGCGGCGTCCTCCTCGACCGGGATGTTTCTTGCCGGATCCACCAGCTCCTTCCTGGGCCTTCTCTTTGTCGCGCCGCTCGTATTCAGCTTTCTGTTGCTCAACAAGCTACTCGACTCTCTTACAGTTCTGAAGATCATGGCCCTTGGTGCGGTGAATCTTGCAATACTGCTTGTTGGTGCCGTCCTGCTTGTCGACGACCGCCACCTCCGCGGCAACCTCCTTGCCGGAGTCACCAGCTTTGGCTTCCTTGGCGCCGCCACCATTGTCGGACTGCTCAACAACTAGCACTTCTTTGCCTTTCCTCCTTCTGTTGTTCCGCCGCCGGTTTTTCCTTGTCGGGGCAGCATCTTCGCTGTCAGATCCTCCCGCTCCTATATTTTCTCCGGGAAGTCTCCTCCCTTCCTCAGCACGCACACACTTGTCGGCCAGTGCATATAACTCACTGACGTCCCTGATCTTGCACATCGCCATTTCCTCCCGCATCCTGCGGTTCCGCACGTTCTGATGGAACGCGCTGATCACCGCGGTAGGGTGGACGTCCGGGATGTTGTGCTGCACACTACTGAATCTTTGAATGTACTTGCGTAGGGGCTCTCCTTCCTTCTGGGCGAGCAGATGAAGATCACTCTCCTGGCCATGAGGCTTGTGTCCGCCTGTAAAGGCGCCGACAAACTGATGGCACAGATCAGCCCAAGAGGATATGGAGTTGTCCGTCAAGTGCATGAGCCAGGATCTGACGTTGGGCTTGAGCACCAGTGGGAAGTAGTTGGCAAGGATCTTGTCATCTCGTCTCCCGGTAGCCTGTACCACGATGGTGTAGATGCTGAGGAACTCTGACGGATGCGTCTTGCCGTCGTACTTCTCCGGTACGTCTGGCTTGAAGTTCTTTGTGCTGGGCCACTGGACTTGCCGCAGCTCGCGAGTGAACGCGGGACAACCTACCGCGTACGGCAGATCGCCGGTTCCCCTGGCGCATGCATGTCAACAGAGGGCCCAGCGCGCTTGTCGGATTGACGTCGCGCTTCTCTTTGGCGCTCGATGCGGGTTCGAGCGTCTTCTTGTTGTCGATCATGAAGAACTTGGCGCTGATCGCGACGAGCTCGTGGATCCGATGATGCAGTGGAGTCGCTGTCGAGGTGGATCCGGCGAGTCGGCGATCTTGGCCTTCGGGGCGGTGATTGCATGGTAGTTGCACCTCCGCCCGTTTCGTCGCCACAGGCTCGCGTCCTGCAACCCTGCCGCGGCGGCGACGCGCTCGGCCGCCGTGGAGTATCGCCGTTGGCGTAGCCGATGAGACTCTGAATGGTGGCCCTCCATTCGTCGATCTTGTCCGACGTCAGAGGGTAATCTAGGAGAAGTTGAGCTCGCGCCAAAGCTTCTGCTGGAGTGGTGGATGGCAGTGGCGGACGGCGCGAGGAGCGGGACGTGCTCGAACTTCTAGCTATGTTAGAAGGAGCAGTATCCCGTCCAGGCAACCGTGCCCTGCTCGTGCCAGCATGCTGGCGTGCATGCTGGTCTTGAGCGTCCCGAGATCCACCAGCTTGATCTTGGCCCAGCGGACGTATGGCGCTGCGAACACCATGATGCTGTTGGTCCCGCGCCTCCTGAAACGGGTGCGGTGCGCGTACGGACGCCGAGGTCTGTGCTTCCTTGTCCTTGGACTTGGCAGTACTGTGAGCACCCTCATCGACGCCTGTTCTTCCGCCCGCGTCCACTCCACCACCCGTTTGCTCCGGTGGCGGTGGAATCGACGCGGACGGAACTGCTGCCTCCGAAGCCTTCTTCTTCGGTGGCATGTTGATGAAGGGATGAAGATCTAGCTCGTGTGAACATCGGATCAGGTTCACACAATCTCGACGCTCCCCTACCTGGCGCGCCAAAGATGTCGTGGGAAAGCTGATCCACGAACACCTATGGGGCCGGCGGACCGGGCCCTTTCGGTTCGGCGGGGGGCGGAGGTCGCACGAAGAGCAGATCGAGGCGAGGCACACGAGCGGTTTACCCAGCTTCGGAGCTCTCCGGAGAGATAACACTCCTACTGCTGCTTGTCTGGTTGTATTATCTGGTGTTCTTGCTCTCGGGCCCAAGAGTGTGATGTTCTCTGGTTTACAAATGGATCGAAGCAAACTGTCCGAACCTTCGAAACTCCGAACCCCCTCTACGTTGCGCATGGGCCTCCTTTTATACGCTAAAGGGGTCACCGACAGGTGGCAACGCAGAGGAGGGTAAAAGCGTAAAAAGCGAAGTAGTTGATACAGTAGCTTGTACAGTGCACCCTACCTAACCCTGACGGCAGGGGACAAGGGCATTTAATGCCCGTCTGAGTCGCCCAAACAGTGCAGAAAGGGACCGTTAAGGGCGCCACCGTTCGCCACGATGGTGATCCTGTCAGCTTCGCATGCCACAGTGCACCGCTGGCTGCACAGCCTCCCGCCACGCGCGTCTGGAGAGGCCTCCAGAACGACACGTTGGTGGATGCGCTGGAGCGTGGGCACAGAGTGGCCGCCTGCCGCGGCAAGCGCCTTGCTGCTGCTGCTATCTTGTCGGGCCCGGAGGCTTGTCGCTCACCGGACTTCGAGGTATCTTGGTTAGTCTTCCCGGCAAGCTCCTCTTGCTGGGGCCTTGTTGCCTTGCCGGAGCGCGTGGCGCGTCGTGGCAAGTTCCTTGGAGCGCCTTGGTTGGCCTTCCCGGCAAGCTCCTTTTGCCGGGGTCTTGTCTCCTTAGCTTAAATACTTTGTTCTTGGATGGCTCCAAGGAAACCTTGGGGGATCTTGGCGTTGCCCGGCAAGCCTTTGCCGCGGGGTGCTGCAACTGCCCATGCACAAGTTCGGGGTACTAGGGTACCCCTATTCTAGTACACCGACAGAAGGTGCCAACAACTTTTTCCATATTTGGATCACGTGGTGGATGGGCATAATTGTCAGTTCAAGTTAGCATAAGATCAAAAACAGTCGCCATTAATAGCTCTAATTGAAAACAACTAGAACTAGAGAGAGGGGGAGAAGAATGTTGACCCGCGGAGGGAAGTCACCTAAGCTACACTTCCCTAACTTTCCTTCTTCACTTCCATATGATTAAGACTAAAATGACTTCAATTAATTTGCAAATTACTCCCTTTATAAATTAATATAAAAGTGTTTAGATCACTATTTTAGTTATCTAAACGCTCTTACATTAATTTACAGAGGGGGTACAAACCTACTTTATACCTTTACAAAAATGGCATACAAACAAAAAAAATTGTGCAATAAAATTAATTTAAAATTTATTATATCAACAGTAACTCTGTACAGTACTTGCTATAGTAGATACATATAGTTTGACTACTGTGCACGTAACTTTCCTTCTCTGTTTTACACTAGTCTGCACCGTAGCTTAGGTGACTTCCCCCCTCATGTTAGAGGATCCACTTCCGCGCACGCGGGGGGAGGGTCTTTCAGGATCTGATGGGCGGGTACGACCGCATTCAACGATGCGCGAGGCGAGTGGCGCCAGGTTTGGGCTGGATGACCGGCACATATCATTGATCTTACGAAAATTTGCACGTATGTAGACAATTCGTCAATGTTTATTGTCAATTATATTTTCTATTCTTTCAATTTTAGTGTTTTGATTTTTTAGGGGTTTCAGCTTTAGTGTTTAGCACCCAAAGAGGTTTGAGGAGGAGCCAAGGGGAGGGGGCGCCGGGACGCGAGCCACGCATCCATGCGAGGGGAGAGAGGAGGTCAAAGGAGAGGAGGAGGCAAGGGAGGGGACTGGCGAGCCCATAGTGGGCGGAGCAAAGCCGGGGCGGCGAGGAGGGGACGTGGGAAGGGGAGGGGGAAGGGGAGAGGAGAGCCATATCGCTAGGCAGTTTGAAAACAAAATATTGGCGTTGTCGTCATTATTCATTTCTAGATTTGGTTTTTTTCATATCTCCAAATAGATTTGTTTTTTATAGAACATCAGGTCCCCAATATATTTTAATTTTTCAATAATTTTTAGAAACTTCTAATCTAACATGGTTTCCACCAAGGTATTTTTTACTAGGAGCATGATTACATCCTACTTCTAGTATTTCTATACATCTTCTCCTTTGCTTTCAGACTACAAACAGTAGCTTCTGCCTCATAACCTCATAGCCTCATAGGTAGACTATAAAGGCTTAGCAATGGGCTGAAAAAAGTTTGAAGTCTTGAGAATTGGAGGTCATGATCCCAATCCCATGCACGCCGTGATTGTTTTCATGAATTTTCAAAATTTATCCATGCCTTCAAATAAGCTCCTTCACATTTTATCAGTGCCTCAAAACAAGCTAATAGCACGTGCTCCTATAGGAGTAGAAACCGAAACGGGTACGTTGCAACAACATTCTTCATAATATACGTACAAAATCAATACAAAATGTTGCTATGCGGTCCAATGATTACACAACTTTTTGACAAAAACAACATACAACGAGTGAAAATCATGCTATAAATACATATACTCCCTTCATTCTATCAAAAACGCTCTTATATTATGGGACGGGGGAGTATTTGTCTACGCAACTCTAAATTAACTACACTCCTTAACACTAGCTTCCCACGATTTAAACTCCCTTGGATAAACAAATCGTAGCGACCGTCACAGGATGTAGGAAAAAGTGCCCCCTCATTCGCTTAGAAGATCCACAAATCTCTTCAAATTCTCATACGAGGAGTCCCCCTTTCCGAGGCACTTGCGAGCTGCATCCCTGAGCATACCTGCCCTCTCCGCAATTCCCTCGTCACCGATAACCTGTCCCAATTTGACGGCCACCTCCTCCTTCATCACGACACCATCTTCACCGGGAGTCACGGCCAGTCCGGTCCTCCAGATATCGCAGATGTAGCTCCGGTTCGCGAACTGGTCGACGAAGTAGGGCTAGCACAGGATCGGCACGCCATTTCTGACCCCCTCCATCGTCGAGTTCCAACCGCAGTGCGACACGAAGCACGCCACCGCGCGGTGCGCGAGGACCTGCACGTTGAAAACGAATTTTAAAAAGTTTGCGTTCACGATCTGACGCTTACAAAATGCACTGAGGTCTGAGGCGCACCGATTAAACATAGCGTGAGAGCTAGGTAAGTTGATGATAATATATGATACCTGCTGCTGGGGACACCAGCTAACGATGATGCCCCTGCCGTTGACGGCGACGCGGTGCGTGAACTCGTCGAACCACGCCTTGCTCAGGCCGCCGGTCGTGAAGTCCGGGCGCACCACCCACAAGAACGGCCGGCCGGTGAGCTCCAGCCCCTCGCCGAGCTCGCGGAACTGCCGCGGGTCAAAGATGGTGAAGCTGCCGAACGCCACGTACACGACGGAGCCGTCGGGGTGGGCGTCGAGCCACTTCAGGCACCCCGCGTCCTCCGCCAAGAACTGCCCGACGGGCTTCCGGAACTCCTGATCGGCGGACAGCGGGCCGATGGGCACTATGTTGGGAAACCGCTCGAACGCCGCGGCCTCGGCGTCGAGGAACGAGTTGCACACGATGATCTCGGCTAGGCTGGTCGCCTGGGTGTTCCGGGACACCAGCCGGAAGGATACCTCCTGCCCCTCGGCGGCGCCGTCGATGCTCCAGGGCATGTGCGACGTGTACATCGGCGGCATGTTGGGGGCGATCTCGAACGCGCCTCGTCGTTTCGGGAAGCCTGCGTTTATTCAGAGAAGAAATAATTCAGTCCAGTGCTTCTTCTCTCCAGAAGAAAATGGCAATCCTCTGTTCAGAACTTTAGGTGTGTTAACAAAACAGTAATCGCACACAGGCAGTGCAAGATGCCAAGATGGATGGATCTTTGGTACCCTTGTCGTCGAAGAAGCCGTCCTCTATCAGCTGGGGAAGCCGGAGCAACGTCCCAAGGCCCGCCGCGGACGCCGGGAAGACGCAGGCGACCCGGACGCCGAGCTTCTTGGCAACCTCGAAGCACAGCCTCATGTTGGCGTCGCCGACGAGCCACCGCACCTTGGTCTCCCTGATAAGCTGCTCGACATAGCCTGGTATGCACCGCGAGATCCCGTCCAGAAACTTGCAGAGGTCCCTCCGGTCGTCGCCGTCGGCCAGGCCGTCCGGTATGGAGACCAGGCGGATCCCGTCCAGCGCCTCGCCGCCGCCGTTGTCGCCGTCGGCGTTGCTTTGCAGGGCGTCAAGAAGGAGCTTGTGGATGGGGTCGGTGCAGACGAAGGTGACCTGGAAGCCGTGGTCGACGAGGCGGTGCGACAGCTCCATGAGCGGGGTGACGTGGCCCTGCGCCGGGAACGGCAGCACCATGACGTGAGGCGCGGAGCCGGCCATGCCGGTCGGTGGGATGGATATCGCGTCCGGAGCCTCGCGGATAGCTCTTGTGTGGCGGTCGAAGTGGGGAGCGTCGAGATCACAATCGAGAGAGAGAACTCAGTTCAGATGCTTGAGACAGATGTCGGCTGATGATTGGAGATGGTGTTATTCCTATTACTTGCTCCGTTTCTTTTTACTCCGCGTATAAGATTTGATCAAAGTCAAACTACACAAAATTTGACCAAATTTATATAAAAATATATGAACATTTACAATACTAAAACTATATAGTATGAAAATACGTTTCATGGTGTATCTTATAATATTGATTTCATATTATGAATGTTTATATTTTTTTAACGGAAATGTTAACGCCCATACGTGTGGGCGTTTGCACATCGCCCACACGCCTCCATCACCACTCATTTTGCCACATATGAATAGATGACATCAGCAGAATTTTTTTTGGTTTTCGGCTTAAAAATGTTGTATCTCCTAAATAAAAAAGCGAACTAAAAATCCGTTTTCATCATTAAATCCGTCTCGACGAGATCTTCAAAATTAGACCCCATGTTGATATGTTTTGACGAATTTTATTTTTGCCAGAAGTTGCCACGATGTTTACACTGCAGTTGCCATAGGGCTTAAATTAAAGTTGCCATGTGGCAATTTTAGTTTATAGATCGTGGCAATTTTAGTATTTTGATGATGACAACTCCAGTACATTAACCATGAAAATTATTTTTTGTATGAACCATGGCAATTTTACGTGCATGTATCATGGCAATTTTAGTTTATGGTTCATGGCAAGTCTAGTTTCTTAATTGCCCGTTTTATAAATGTCAAAATTTACTTTTAAATGCAGAAGAAAATAGCTGAAACATATCATGGCAACTTCAATGTAAACATCATGGCAATTCATATGCAATAGACATGGTAACTTTTAATCCAAATTTTTTTTCATCAAAACATATCAACGTGGGATCTAATTTTGAAGATCTCGTCGAGACGGATTTAATGATGAACGGATTTTTAGTTCGCTTTTTTATTTAGGAGATACAACATTTTAAAAACTGAAAATCCAAAAATATTCCTACATGCATGCATGCGATGACGTGGCAATCTGTTTACATTAAAGACGTGTGGTGCGTCTCCCTTCCTGCCACAAGTGTGGCAGTTAGCGCGGCCCTTTTTTAATATAAAGATAGTCAAACTTTACAAAGCTTGATTTTGATTAAATCTTAGATGCCGACTAAAAAAATGGAGGGAATAGTTGAGTCCCGTGAGGCCGTGAGTGGGAGTGAGCGACTGACCAGCAGACGACGACCATTCCACCAATCAACCTCTTGCACTCTTGCACATACAGTACTACTGATAGTAGAAAATAAAGAAAAAAAATATGGAGAATAACTAGGAATAAGCGCACGCAGTATTCAAACCGCAAGAATCAGGTGAGATCAAAACCATTAGCAAGAGGGCACTCCCTGTCTGCCTCGCGAAAAAAAAAGCGCAATAGGACACAGCTATGGAAACTACCCTTGGGAAACATAATAAAAGTTATCGATCGGCGGCCATGGAACCTAACGTTAAAGAATCAAGAGAGTGAAGGAGAAAGCGGGAAGGAAGACACTGTTTTGGGCATTCCTTTTTTCTCACTTTAGCCATATGTACGTCTCCTGAAAATTATTTTTGTTTTTGGGCAGTAAAACTTGCATTCACTAGGAAGATAACACAGCGCAAACAAAAACCTATCCCGGATGCAATTTAGTACTCCCTCTGTCCCGTAATCTAAGAATGTTTTTTATAAGCAAAAACGCTCTTATATTATGAGACGATGAGAGTAGTACACAAACCGGCACAAGCTGAACACTTCATACATAAACTTTTCAGGCGAGTGCACGTTAGTACAACTTTGAGCATGACTGGTTGTTCCGAGTGATGTGGCGCACAACGTGGGGCGCATTCGATCTGAAGACAGGACACTTAGGCATGCTTAGAGCAATTCTAGTAGCCGCCCTATCGCCCCGATTTTCATAACAAAGGCCACTCTAACAGAGTGATACGTCTCCAACGTATCTATAATTTTTTATTGTTTCATGCTATTATATTATCCATCTAGGATGTTTTATATGCATTTATATGATATTTTATATGATTTTTGGGACTAACCTATTAACCTAGATCCTAGTGCCAGTTTCTGTTTTTCCTTGTTTTTGAGTTTTACAGAAAAAGAAAACCAAACGGAGTCCAATTGACTTCACGGAGATTATTTTTGGACCAGAAAAAACCCACGGAGTACCGGCGATGGGCCAGAAGAGTCCCGAGGCCACCGCGAGGGTGGGGGCGTGCCCTACCCCCTGGGCGCACTCCCCTATCTCGTGGCCGCCTCGGAGACCCTCCTGACTTGTTCCTGACGCCAAAACCTCTTATATATATCCAAATTTCCAGAACATAACCTAGATCGGGAGTTCCGCCGCCGCAAACCTCTGTAGCCACCAAAAACCAATCTAGACCCGTTCTGGCACCCTGCCAGAGGGGGGAATCCCTCTCCGGTGGCCATCTTCATCATCCCGACGCTCTCCATGACGAGGAGGGAGTAGTTCACCTTCGGGGCTGAGGGTATGTACCAGTAACTATGTGTTTGATCTTTCTCTCTATCGTGTTCTTGATTCAGCACGATCTTGATGTATCATGAGCTTTGCTATTATAGTTGGATCTTATGATGTTTCTCCCCTCTACTCCCTTGTAATGGATTGAGTTTTCCCTTTGAAGTTATCTTATCGGATTGAGTCTTTAAGGATTTGAGAACAGTTGATGTATGTCTTCCATGTGCTTATCTATGGTGACAATGGGATATTCACGTGATCCACTTGATGTATGTTTTGGTGATCAACTTGCGAGTTCCGTGACCTCGTGAACTTATGCATAGGGGTTGGCACACGTTTTCGTCTTGACTCTCCGGTAGAAACTTTGGGGCACTCTTTGAAGTTCTTTGTGTTGGTTGAATAAATGAATCTGAGATTGTGTGATGCATATCGTATAATGATACCCACGGATACTTGAGGTGACATTGGAGTATCTAGGTGACATTAGGGTTTTGGTTGATTTGTGTCTTAAGATGTTATTCTAGTACGAACTCTAGGATAGATTGAACGGAAAGAATAGCTTCGTGTTATTTTACTACAGACTCTTGAATAGATCGACCAGAAACAATAACTTTGAGGTGTTTCGTACCCTACAATAATCTGTTCGTTTTTCTCCGCTATTAGTGAGTTTGGAGTGACTCTTTGTTGCATGTTGAGGTATTGTTATGTGATCTAATTATGTTATCCTTTTTGAGAGAACTTGCACTAGTGAAAGTATGAAACCTAGGCCTTGTTTCAACGCATTGCAATACCGTTTGTGCTCACTTTTATCATTAGTTACCTTGCTGTTTCTATATTTTCAGATTACAAAAACCTATATCTACCATCCATATTGCACTTGTATCACCATCTCTTCGCCGAACTAGTGCACCTATACAATTTACCATTGTATTGGGTGTGTTGGAGACACAAGAGACTCTTTGTTATTTGGTTGCAGGGTTGTTTGAGAGAGACCATCTTCATTCTACGTCTCCCATAGATTGATAAACCTTAGGTCATCCACTTGAGGGAAATTTGCTACTGTCCTACAAACCTCTGCACTTGGAGGCCCAACAACGTCTACAAGAAGAAGGTTGTGTAGTAGACATCAAGCCATTTTCTGGCGCCGTTGCCGGGGAGGTTAGCGCTTGAAGGTATATCTTTAGATCTTGCAATCGAATCTTTTAGTTTCTTGTTTTGTCACCAGTTTAGTCTATAAAATAAAACTACAAAAAATGGAATTAAGGTTGCCTCATATGCTTCTCTTTTTAATGTCTTTCGTGAAAATAAGGATTCTGATAATTGTGCCAAAGTGTTAGAAGAAGAATGTATTAAAATGTTTGGCACTAAATCTTTGGATGATGAGCATGATTGCAATGTTGTTATTATGAATTCTTTGAATATCCACGATGCTAATGATATGCAAAGCCACAAGCTTGGGGATGCTATGTTTGATGAAGATGATATTTTTTGTCCCCCAAATTTTGATGAGCAAATTTATTTTGATGATAGCATGCCTCCTATTTATGATGATTATATTGATGAAAGTGGGTTTGGGAGAGTGTCAACTTTAGGAAGTAATGATACCACTATTTTGGAGGGTGTTGAATCTTATTATGATAATTATGAAAGTGGGTTTGGAGAGGTCATGACTTTAGTTAATGTTAATCCCACTATTTCGGAAGAGTGTCAACTTTGCATACATGTGGATCGTGTTAAGAATATGTTTTGTGATAGCTATATTATTGAATTTTCTTATAATCCTACATGTAATTATTATGAGGGGGGAACATATGCTTGTAGGAATTGCAATAATATCAAGTTTCCTCTCTATGTGTTGAAAATCTTGAAGATTTGCTTGTTTTACCTTCCTATGCAAGTTGATTCTTATTCCCACAAGTTGTTTGCTCACAAAATCTCTATGCATAGGAAGTGGGTTAGACTTAAATGTGCTAGTAATATTCTTCATGATTCTCTCCTTATGTTTCAATTCTTATCCTTTATGTGAGCATCATTGAATTCATCATGCCTAGCTAGGGGCGTTACACGATAGCGCTTGTTGGGAGGCAACCTAATTTGATATTTCTTCCTTGCATTTTGTTACTATTTAGTAATAAATAAATCATCTATCATCTGTTATGATTGTGTTTTTTTATGTTAGTTAGTGTTTGTGCCAAGTAAAACCTTTACGATCTTCTTGGGTGATTGTTATTTGATCTTGCTATAAAAAAAGAAAGTATTCGCTCACGAGAATAATTTTCATTTTTTACTATAGAGCGATAAAATACCAATTCCAATTGCAGTAGGTTAATAAACAAATTGCCTAGGACTTCCTAATTTCTCAGGACTTTTGGAGTTACAGAAGTATTCTAAACCTACAGATTACTATAGACT